TTTTGGGCATATGGATGTCAAGGAATGAAAAGATTTTCAATTTTAAGCCTATGCACCCATTTCGTTTGTGGGGCTGGTTGAGATTTAAAACTGCTACTTACCTTACCAATACTAATTTAGGAATGCAATGTAGCCTACGTATGGTCAGAACTGTACGTTGGACCCTTCCTAAATTTAACTGGATGAAATTGAATGTGGATGGAGCAGCAACTATTTCTTGTGCAAGAATAGGATTAGTTTTTAGAATTGAATTTGGTTGTATTTTGACAAGATTGGCAAGGAGACTCGGTAGATGCACAAACTCCATGGTTGAATTTTGGGGAATTCTAGATGGGATCTACTAGCCAAGTAGTTGGGTATCACAGAGTTGGAGGTCGAGACAGATTCTTTTATTGTTGTACAGGTGCACCCAGAAATGGAAGTATGCTTGGAAATTTTCAATGGTGATACAAGATTGTAAATTATTAGCTCAGGGTATAAATATTAAGTTTGGTCATGTGTACAGAGAATATAACAGGTAGCAAACTTACAGTCTAAAAGAGCTTTGAGTAGTTGTACTTAGGATTCTTGGATTCTTAATCCAGATCCTGAGTTGGGGTATTACTTGTTTTTGGATCAAATTGGTACAGTGTATCTCAGGCAGTGTTAACTATCTTCTCTTATTAATAAAGTTAGTTAGTATTTTGACCAAAAAAAATGCCATGATTATTTACATGCATAGTTTGTGGATACATTTTCCTTTCCCCTAATTACCATTGAATCTTCTTTTCATATCTATCATCTACCATATTCTTTAGATAGTTAAGTTTAATTAGTTTAATTAATTAGTTTATTTTAATTGCCTGTAGGGTTTAGAACTATTCCTCTCTATAGAGTGATTCGCTAGATATCTCGAAATTAGTATTTCTTATTTGTATTTGAGCTAAGAATCTCTACCTTGAGGCGGGTACGACCTTTACTTGTAACTTGTTCTACAATTGACAATCTTATTTACAGGCATAGCTAACATCATCATACTTTTTTCTCTTATCAGCAGCGAAAGTCTAAGTTGGATTATAAATCTTTGAACTGGATTTTTCTTGGCTGGGAAAAAAGGGTTAAAAGTTTTAGGATATGGGATCAAATTGGTAAGAACAGGTTATTGAGCAGGGATGTCATCTTTGACGAAGATTCTATGTTGAGGGAAGAATGCATGTCTGATAGCACATCTCATAACAGCAGAAACAATGAGAAACAGATGCTTGAGGTAGACTTAGATGATCCAATCGAAACAATATATCATGAAGACCATGTACAATAGGACATCTCTAATTCACTAGAGTAGCAACAACCACTACAACAAAAGGATTTTGTTGCTCTTTCCAGACAACCAAGGAATAATAAGGCGCCAGTCTGATTTTATTTTGAAGACAATTTATTATTTGTTCTCTCTATCACATTTGGGGATCCAACTTCACTTGATCGAGGGTGCTATTACAAGTGGATGAAGGCAATGTAGGAAAAATGGAGTCTCTGTATAAGAATGGTACTTGGGAGTTGTTCCACAACCAAAGGATGGAAAGAAAGCAATAGGTTGTAAATGGGTATTCAAGAAAAAAAAAAAA